TTTTTTTTTATTTATGCCAGTAATGTCAGGGTGAGATGGTATCTCATTGTAGTTTTGATTTGCATTTCTCTAATGGCTGGTGATCATGAGCACTTCCTCATGTGTCTGTTAGCCACCTAAATGTCTTCTTTGGTGAAGCATCTATTTATACCTTTGCCCATTTTTTAATTGGATTATTCGTCTTTTTGTTGTAGAGGTGTTAGATTTTTCTATGGATTTTACAGATTATACCTTTTTCAGATTCGTCATAGCCAAAATTTTTTCCCGGTCTGTACGTTCTCCTTTTGCTCTTTTGGTGAAGTCTTTTGATGACCCCAAGTGTTTAATTTTTAGAAGATTCCAGTTATCTAGCTTATCTTCTGGTGTTTGTATATTGTTAGTTATGGTTTGTATCATATTTATGCCATGTATTAGAGCCTATTTTTTTACCCTATTTTTGACCCTATTTTTTCTTCTATGATCTTTATAGTTTTTGGTTTTATACTTAGATCTTTGACCCATTTTGAATTAGCTTTTGTGTATGGTGTGAAGTATGGGTCCTGTTTCATTTTTTTACAGAAGGACATCCAGTTTTGCAAGCACCATTTGTTAAAAAAATTGTCTTTTCCCCATTTAATGGACTTTGGGCCCTTGTTGAAGATCAGGTGGCCACAGACAGATGTATTTAAATCTGATCTCAATTCTTTTCCATGGATCATTGTACCAGTACCAGGCTGTTTTGGCTACCATAGCTGTATAGTAGGCTCTGAGGCCAGGTAGTGCAAGTCGTCCTATTCTTCTTCTTCAATAGTGCTTTACTTATCTGGGGCCTCTTTCCTTCCTATATAAAGTTAATGATTAGTTTTTCCATCTCATTAAAGAATGCTGTAGGTGTTTCGATCGGGACTGCACTGCATTTGTAGATTGTTTTGGGTAGAACTGACACTTTCAGAATGTTGAGTCTACCTATCCATGAGCATGGTATGTTTTTCCATTTATGTAGGTTTCTTTTGGTTTCTTGTAGTAGCGTTTTATAATTTTCTTTGTATAGGTCTTTTACATCTCTAGTTAGATTTATTCCTCAGTATTTTAACTTTCTAGGGGTTATTGTTTATAAGGTTGCTATGAGTCAGAATTGACTCAACAGCAATGGGTTTGGTTTGGTTGGTTTTGGTAAATGGTATTAGTTTCCTGATTTCCTTTCTGAAGTTCTCTGTATCGGTGTATAGGAATCTAACTGATTTTTATATGTTTATCTTGTATCCTGCTACTCTGCTGACTCTTTCTATTAGTTCCAGTAGTTTTCCTGTGGAGTCTTTTGGATTCTTTATGTATAATATCATATCATCCATAAATAGGGATGGTTTCACCTCTTCATTACCAGTTTGGATGCCCTTTATTTCTTTTTCTTGCTTTATTGCTCCAGCTAGGACTTCTAGCACAATGTTAAATAGGTGGGGTGAAAAAGGGCATCCTTGTATTTTCCTGTTTTCAGGGGGAATATTTTCAGCCTCTCTCTGTTAAGAATGATGTTGGGCTGTTGGTTTTGTATAGATGCCCTTTACTATGCTGAGGAATTTCCCTTCTATTCCTATTCTATTGACAGTTTTTATCAGGAATGGGTGTTGGACTTTACCGAATAGAAAAGGCAATCAGATATTATACAAAATAAAAATTTCTGTATGGCAAAACATTGCCCAAAGTTAAAGGAAAACAACAACTTGAGAAAAATATGTGCTGTAAACAAAACAATAAAGGATTAATATATTTTTAATAGCTTAAACAAGTCAATAAGGAAACCATAATGACTTTAAAAGATTAATGGGCAACAAGTACAAGCAGACTACATGAGAAAAAAGAAATTCTAGTAAACAAACATGAAAATTTCCAAACTTACCAAAAAAAAAATGAAAAGTACAAGTCATAAAAACAATGAGTTATTTTTACCTATTAAATCATCAAACAAGTCAATGATAATACTCTATACCAATTAAAACATTTTGGAGTCAGCATTTTCATACAATATCGGTTGTACCACAGGGTTTACAACTAATACCATCTTATTAGAAGCCATTTAACTATTAAAAGTCATTGAAGTAATTATTCCTATGGTCCAATAAATTCTACTGGTTAAAATTTATCCTGTCAAATTCAGAATACAGTACTGAAAATTTTATATGTGCCAAGATGTTTACTACAGTATTATTTATCATACAGAAAAATTGAAAAATCTTAAATAACCAAAAACATAAACAGTTAAAATAAATGATGTTATATCCACTTGATTGGCTGGTATAAAGGTATGAAAACAGATGATTATAAAAACACCTACAAACATGGATAACGCTTAAGATAATATTAAACAGAAGAGTCATATATAAAATTGTATATCAACAATGATTATAAGCAAAAGACCAAATATATTCTTTAAAAATACAGAATGAGTATAAATACTCCAATATTAAATAATTGACGCAATTATAGATGATATGCTTTCTTTTATTTCTCTTCTAAATTTTCTGAAATACAAATTAGTATATTTTCTTAATTAAGTATATATTAAAGAATTAGAAAGATTACAATACTTTAAAATTAGTTTCGATGTTTAATCTCACTATTGTTTCAACCCCAAGTACAAAACAGACATTATAGTTTTATTTTTAAGCAGGATCTCAAAACAGTAATTTAAATCTAATTTTTTACTTTATACTATATTCGATGTAAGTTTAATCTAAATTAACAAATTAATAGAAAAGAAATACTAAAATCTTTTGCCAGACAAAAAAGGCCAACTCATTAGTCTTGCCTTAATTGTGTTTCTGTTTCTTCCAGATTTTCTATTTGTTTCAACATCCTTTCTTCTTGCTTTTTGCTATTCTAAAGAAATAATCAATGTTGTTTATATTAATTGTTTCATCAAAATAAAATTGAAACTAATATTTAAGACATTTATCTCTCAGTATAAAATCCACTTAACAATATATAAAGCAAGAAAAATGGGCTACTTAACTTGCAAAGTTCCACACTACTTTTCCAGCCTAAACAAGTCTTATTTGCTGTTTCCCAGTTACACACTGAGCCTTGCACTCTTTGTTCATGTTGTTGTGGCTTTAAGAATTTTTTTTTTAACTCATTGTTACCTACTGAACTCATAATTCATCTTTTAAGACCAAAACCAATGTTATATTCTCCATGAAGCCTTATTTTCTACCAAGGCAGAATGACCCTGTGAATACTGGTAACACTCTGTGTCACTAACAACACATAAGACATCCTATTTTGTTTACCTCACTTAATTAGTTACTACTTTTTCTATTAAGTCATAAGCTTCTAAAGAGCAAGGATGATATTCTTCTCATCATTGTATCCTCCGCAGTGTCTTATATGATGTATTCAATAAATACTTGTTGAAAAAAAATTCTTTATAAAAACTAGATTAACTTTATCTATCGATAGCCTCTATATTGTTACCCATTATTGCCATCTACAATCAATATGTATGCATATTTTACTTCTAAAATAAAGTATCAGATGTAAGACAATCAGACTTTTAAATTGAAAGGGTCTTAACCCCCTGATTTTACAGGTAAGAAAACTAAGTCACTGGCACTTTTTTTTTCAACTCACATTTATATCTTCTTGCAGCTTCTTGAGCTCTAAGGTCACATCGCTCATTTCTTGTGCTAGCTCTTTGTTCTCTAATGAAAGCTTATTGCAGCTTGCAGTTAGTTCAAAACTCTTTAGCCTATTTTTAAAAAAGATTTCATACCAGATAAGCAGACAATCATATTAAACGATATGATGTCAAATTTAAGTCAAAATAATCTGAGGGTAAATGGAGGAAGGCATGGGGGTATAAATGAAACAAGATTGGTCATTAGTTCATAATTTCTGAAGCTGGGCAATAGATACATGCTGGTTCATTCGATTATTCTCTCCACTTTGTATATGTTTGAAATTTTTCCATAATAAGTTTTTCAGAACATCAGATAATATATTTCCTTGCATATTCCCCATACCCTCATTCCTACACTTTCTCCACATATTTGGAAGAGTAATTACATTATTTTTCTTCATATAATTTTTTTTTCTCCAGTACACTGTCTCTTAGAAATGGTTCCAAAGTTCTGATCATTTGATTAAAATAGTACACAAGGCATGAACTATTTTTAATTAAAATATTTTGGTTAAATTAAGTGAAACTAGGTTTAATCTTTGTTCACAACACCTAATCTGCTCTTACGAGGTCTTAGATGCTTTACAATGGAAGAGATACTACCACTGCTGTTGGTTGTGGTCAGGATTAATTTTAAATGAAAGTAAAGGAATGTCTGCCTGTTTGGAGTGATTTCAAAAGTAACTATTATCTCCTCCTACTTACTGACATGGAAAATTCATCAAAGAAGAAATAAAAGTTTTCATTACACAATAAAAGATTGCAAAAGCAAATATGCCAAGGATAATGTAAATTTATGCTAAAGTATAAGTAATTAATTAGTCCAGTCACTAAAAGTGATCCTGATTGATAGATGAAGATTACCCAGGTCGTCTAAAAAAGTACTACTGAAAAGGTACCAGAAGCAAGGAACAGGAGCTGAAAGGGAAGGGAGAGGATATGCGAGTAAACTGCTTACTTCCCATTTTTACAGAGAGCTGAGAAGCAACAAAAAGAGAAAAAATCCTACTCACTCTTAGATTGGCTACTTGACTTTACTTCTCTCTTGAGTAATATTGAGTAATAACACAATAATGATTCCACACACACACACACACACACACACGTACACACACACACTTTCTAAATTACTGAGTAGATGAATTCATTCAATTAAATACTTCATTTGGACAACATAAAAAAATGAATTTGTATTTTGACATTTCAGCTATACAAACCTATGAAATAATTTAGTAAAACACCCAAAATCATAGTTACAACTGCAAATGATTATTTTTATCAGGAACTAAATACCTCCAAGAAAAGTAATATATTGGTATTTTAAAGCAGTTCTCAACTTTGTGATGTACTCTTTCCATGTCAGTGATACATAGTTCCCTTAGCAATGAAATTGGCAAATTATTTGATCTTTAAGGAATAAAATATAACTTGAAGCCCATTCAAATAAATATTGAACATAATTTACTAATTTATTATTTACTACCAGAAAGCTTAGGAATTGAATATATAAGCTATTTATAGATAGATAGAAAACATACTTCTCATTTTCAAGCTCAGTTTTCAGATCTTTAACCTGTTTTGAGTAATGCTGTTCACTTGTCACAATGGCATTTAATTGTATTTCCAAATCATGTACTTCTTTCTGCAAAATAAATGTGTATAACCATGACAAATTTTTTTTTCAAATTTTCTCACTTAAAAGGTATGGTGACTCTATGTAATCAAAATCATATATTTGGCAAATACTTTGTAAGATTATGCCCAATATTTTAAATTAAATAGACTTAATGCCAGAAACATTATAATTTTAAAACAATGAGCACTGACAAATGCAATATAAATTCCATCTTGATCTTCTGAAGCTCAACCAGTAAAATTATATTCACATACAACAAAATATCCTCATAAATTCTACTTTAACAAGTAATTAATTTCAATTATAAAGTTATATTATTTAGGAGAAATATATTAATTAAATCAGGTAGCATTTTAAAAATTAAACTCTTCTTACTACTATAAAAAGACAGAATGCAATACTCTTATGGATTAAAAACATGCTTTAAATTAAAAGATTCTAACACTATAACATGAGCACTATAAAAAGTATTGTTATCTAAAAATCTAATTTAATAAAGCTAAATGTTAAATGTACTAATTAAGAAATACAACAGTCAAAAAATGTAATTCTTATAAACAATAGCGTTATGTATAATATTGATATTTTAAATGCTGACTTTTATCTCCCACATTCCACTATGAAGGTGATCTAGATAAGTTATATTTTAAATCAATCTTTAATATATTAAATGTAGCAGGAACACATATTTTTAGAAGGAATTTTGTGAAGAACTCTTTCACAAGGTAAATAGCTACACCATAATCTATTCTGTAAATCTACTAACAAGATAACTGAAACAAAAATTTATTCATAAACAAACCTCTCTGGTTTGGAGAAGACCACTTAATTTTTGTTCTGTTCCTTTTAATTCTTCAGCAATCTTCTCAAATTGTTTCTTTTCATCCAAAAGCTTTTGGTTTTCTGCCTATTTAAGAACATTAACAAATCATTAGTGCCAAAGTATGTACATATTCAAAATAATCAAACTCTCTAAACAGAGTTGTGGAAAGAACTATGAGTTTCTCCTTTGGCTAAAATTTTTTTTTAAGAGAAAATAAGTCTCTATGAAATTGATTCAAAAATTAAATATGATGACAGATAATTTAATAAACAAAACACTGAACTAAGAACCATAGAATTCATTTATTTGAAAAATCATACAGATCACTGAATTCAAATCTTATACTTAAATCACTCCAACTTATTAGCAAGTAGGTAGTCTTTCACTATTCTCTCAATCCTATGTGTTCTAATATTGCACTAAAATGTGCTTCCGTTTAATTCTCATGTAATGGTCATTGTTCTGCTTTATATAATCACAGGAGATGTCTAATTCCTCTTGTACATGATAGCTGACAAATATTTGAAGAGTTATCACTACTCTCTAAGTTTTCTCTGAACTAATCTAAACACTCTAGTTCTTATTATCATTCTTCCTATGAAATGGTTTTGAACTACCTCATTCCTTCAGGATGGGCTCACTTTGTCAATATATTGGTTTAAATAAGGAGTCAAAAATGGAACCCAATTCTCTAGACCAAGGATCAGCAAACTATAGCCCACAGGCAAATTTCAGCCCACTGCATGTTTTTATCAATAAAGTTTTACTGGAATACAGCCATATCCATTCATTTATGTATTGTCTGTGGCTGTTTTCCGTTATAAAGTCAGAGTTGAATAGCTGCATATGGTCCAGAAAGCCATAGCTCAGCTGCATGGCACAGGCAACTAAAACACCAGTAGAAACCTCACCATCTTTCTGGCTTGAAGAAACAAGGAAAGGAGCCCTGGGAACCATGACTAGCTGCAAGAATATTAAGAGAAATCATAGAGAACAGAGAACCAGAAAAAGTGATCTCCTAATACTTTGTATGAACACTAAATAAATCTAAAACTGACATGTGAAATACACTCATGATACAGACTCAAAAGCAGTGCAGCAAAGGCTCAGAGAAATAAAATGAGATTTGAAGTGCTATGCAAAGAAGGTGAGACTGAACTTATTTTGAAGGCTTTCTCTCTCTGTCCTTGCTGTCAGTCTTCCCTTGCTCTAGGAGTTTCTCTGCACAGGAACCTCAGTACAAAGGATACGCTCTACTCCTGGCACTGCTTTCTTGGTAGTATGAGGTCCTTCGCTCTCTGCTCCATTCCCTTTCTTTTTATCTTTTATAAGACAAAAGGTGGTGCAGGCCACACTCCAGGGAAACTCCCTTTACATTGCATCAGGACTGTGACCTGAGCAAGAGTGTTATATCCCACCCTAATCCTCTTTAACATAATCTAATCTTGCCTCATTAACCACAGGCAGAGATAAGGATTTATAACACAGGAAAATCACATCAATCACAAAATGGAGGACAATCACACAATACTGGGACTCATGGTCTGACCAACTTGACATCTTTTCGGGGGACATAATTCAATCCATGACATCATCTATACAAAACCAACAGCCAACATCATTCTTAATGGAGAGAGGCTGAAAACATTCCCCTTGAGAACAGGAATCAGACAAGGATGCCCTGTATCACCACTCCTATTTGACACAGTGATAGAAAACCTAGCTAGATCAATAACGAAAGAAACAGAAATAAACGGCGTTCAAATTGGTAATGAAGAAGTAAAACTGTCCCTATTTGCAGATGATATAATACTATACATAGAAAACCCAAAAGACTCCATGAGACAACTACTGAAACTAACAGATTCAGCAAAGTGGCAGGATACAAGATAAACATACAAAAATCAGTTGGATTCCTATACACTGATAAAGAGAACAATGAAAAGGAAATCAGGAAAACAACACCATTTATGATAGCCCTTAAAAAAAATAAAATACTTAGGAGTAAGTCTAACCGGGGATGTAAAAGATCTATACAAAGAAAACTACAAAACACTACTGCAAGAAACCAAAAGAGGGGACTTCTGGACAACATGGCACTATAGTCAGAAGCACCACACCGTCCCTCCGCAGCAAAGATCAGAAAAACTAAGTCAGACAGAGTCACACGTCAACCTTGAAATCCTTAGCATCAAATGAAGAAATAAAGAACTCAGCCAAGCACCAAATGGAGTAAGAAACTGAAGGAGAACAGAGAGTGAGGAGAGATACGTGCAGAGGTCCCCTATCAGCTACCGCAGCACAGATCCGCCATCTTGGACTCCTATCGGAGATCAGTGAATAGGGGGTAGGAGAAAGCAGCTTCCCGGAGCTTTCAGCAGGAGACAGAACAACAAGTAACCAGCGATGTAGGCTTTCCCACCTCCAACCCTTCTTCACCCCAGCTTAGCCTCCTCTGCTTCCTGCAGCCACAGTCTTTTGGCCGGGGAAAACCAGCTTCACCCTGGTGTCAATTGGATTCCACTGGCCTGCACTGCCCAGCTCACTGAGTGCCTTTTGTTGGCTGCTGGTGTTGCTTTTTTCCGCTTCTTTAGATTTCTTCCTTACCTCTCACCA